CAGTTATAGACACCACATTGAAATTGCCCTCGATCTTATTATTAGTACTAGATAAGGCCTCACCCAGGGAACTCACTATAGCCTGGGGCTGAACAGAGCCTGTTTTATCTGGCTCTGCCCCAGCCTTAGACACAACATTGGGTTTGTCTATGACCTTATTCCTGGCACCAGGCAATGCTTCGCCTTGGGAATTTGACACAGCCTGTGACTGGACAGAGTCCACTGTATCTGCTCCAGTCTCTGCCTTAGACACAGCATTGGGATTTCCCTGGGGCTTATTCTTGGCACCAGGCAAGGCCTCCTCTTGGGAATTGGTCACAGCCTGGGGCTGGGCAGAGCCCACTGCATCTGAACCAGCCCCTGACTTAGACACAGCATTAGGTTTGCGCTTGCTCTTATTCCTGGCACCAAGCAAGGCTTTGCCTTGGGAATTTGAAAGAGCCTGGGGCTGTGCAGAACCTGCTGTATCTGCTCCAGTCTCTATTTTAGATACAGCATTGGGATTTCCCCTAATTTTATTACTGGCACCAGGTAAGGCCTCACTCTGAGAATTGGCCACAGCCTGTGGCCAAGCAGATTGTGTTGTACCTGTTTGAGGCTGGGCAGAGTCATCTGTGTTTGGCCTAGCCCCTACCTTAGACACAGCTTTGGGATTGCCCTGGAACTTACTCTGGATACCAGACAAGTTTTCATCCTGGATATTGTCCATAATCTGAGGCTGACCACAGGGCCTCATTTCCGCCTTAGCCCCTGGCCTAGAAATGGCATTAGGGTCTCCCTTCTCATCATCTCGGGTCTTGGCCTCACCCTGAGGCTGTGCATAAGTTTTCATGCCTGTCCTGATCCCGGCCTTACTTTTGCCTTTGGCTTTGCCCCTAGCCTTAGTTCTAGTACTAGGTAAGGTTTCAACCTGGCTCCGGGCAAAAGCCTGAGACTGTGCCTTTATGTCTGTCCCAGTTCCTTCCTTAGAAATGGTGTCGGCATTACCCTTAGCCCTAATCTTGCCATCAGGCAAGGTATCTCCCAGGACATTGGCCATATCTGTTCCAGCCCCCAACTTAGAAATGGCATTGGGATTACCTCTGGTCTTAACTCTGGAATCAGGCAAAGCCTCAGCCTGGGAATTGGCTTTCAAGTTTGCCTTGGCCTCCATTTTAGACATGGCATTAGAATTGCCTCTATCCTTAACCCTGGGATCAGGCATAGTCTTAGGCTGAGCAACAGTCTTCATGTGAACTCCAGTCACTGCCCTACTTGTAACATCAATATTTCCCCTTTCATCAACCCTGGCACCAGACATTGCCTGAGCCTGTTTATTGGCCATAGTCTGATGTTGTATAGAAACTCTCATATCTGTCCCTGTTCCTGCCTTGTACATGGCATTGGTATTACCCCCAGCATCAACCTTTATCTCAGTCATGGTCTCAGCCTGAGCCTTGGTTACAATCTGAGGCTGCACAGAAGCCCTCATGCCTGCCCCAGATACTGCTGGATACATAATTTTGCAATTTCCTTTGTCTTCAACCCAAGCACAAGGCATGTCATCAACCTGGATCTTAGCCACAGCCTGAGATGGTGCATAAGACCTTATATCCATTCCACCTCCTACCCTGGACATGGTATTAAGATTTCCCTTAGCATCAACTGTGATACCACACCTTGCCTCAGACTGAGTCTTGGCCACATTCATAGTCTCTTCCAGGGCTCTTGCTTTGGTCTCAGCCACAATTCCAGTCTTATTTATGGCATTCATCTTGGCTACTTCCCTGGTTATTTCCAAGACTTCATTCTGTGTCATCAGTACTCTATTCATCTCTGCCTCTTTTTCAGCAAATATATGAGGTTCCACTTTGGTCTGGGTCATTGCTTCTTTCTTGGCCTCTTCGCTGGCAAATATTTCTTCACAAGCTTTAGCCCTGGTCTGGGTCACTGCTTCTTTCTTGTCTGCTCTTTCAGCCTCAGAGTCAGTTTGGGTCACTGCCTCCTTCATGGCCATTTCTTTGACTTTGATTTTGGCCTCAGACAGAGTCACTGCTTCTGTCATGGCCATTGTTTTGACCCCAGATTGGACCTCTTTCTCTGCCCCAACCATTGCCTTGGCCTGAAAGTTGGCTTTGGGTCTTCCCATATCAGGGGGCTTAGTCTCTACATCAGCCCCAGCCCCACCTCCTGTTCCAATTTCCGCTCCAGTCTCAACTTCGGATCTAGTTTCAATCTCTGTCCCATCCATGGCTTCACGCATAGCTAAGGTCTGAGTCTGTACACCAGCCACAGTTTCCATCTTGACTCTAGACCCTTTGCTGTCCAGTTTCTTCTCATTCTGGGCTCTTCTTGAGGTTAATCTGTAAATGTAGTAGCAGGTACCAGCCCAGATCACCAGTCCTGCAGTAACCCAGCCCACTTCATGAATGGGACCCATGTAATCACCCCTGCTGATGCCACAGATGGGCTGGGGAAAGAGTGTGGTAGGTCTGTAAGGGTGCTGATCTTCAGCTCAAAGGCCACTACAGCTGTCACTGGAGGTGGACCTAGAAGTGGAGGAAGGAAATGGACTAAAATTTCTCTTCTAATTCTGTGCATAATACAGATACACAGAAGGACATGAAAGTATAGAAATAATGTGCTTGGTTGGAGAAGAGAAGCATTAGCAAACTCTCTGTCCATCCCTTTTATTTTATCACCTCCCCATATTCCCTAGTACCCAACAATTTCCCCCCAAGGTACTTTCATAGACATTTCCTTACACCAAATAAATAGTGAAAAGAATGGCGGAAGGGCTGACTATGAGTAGGAGGTCCTATCCCCATACCAACCTATATTGATCCGAAGCAGTTCCCTCCTCTTTCCTTCTCTTGATTGGTGATATACCCTAAAGTAGGTCTATATACTCATGAGATCTATGGACCTAAAGACAGACAGACAGAAAGATAGATTAAAGGACAGATGGGAGTTGAGATTATGCTCTTCATGTGACCGGGATATTATTAGCAAACTATCTATCTCCCTCAATTCACCCCACTCCTTGTATCAAAATAAAAGTGAGGGTGTGGGGTAAGTGACAGGAATGGTGGGAAAGGTGCCTGAAAAGGGGAGAGACTGAGGATCCTCCAGACTTGACACTGGACCTACTGGATACACAATGGCCTCTACCAACCCACCCTAGAGGTCTACCCAGGCAGACCTTTCTCTTACCAGTCTCTACTGATCAGGGGCAATTTCCTCCTTGTTTCTTTACTTCCAATCATCTCAAGCTCTGCAGCAAGCCTGTAATCAGATTTATGGATAAATAAACCAACAGGCAGTAATAGAGACTGAATCCTTCATAGAACACACAAGCACCCTGATCCCTAATACCAGTACCTGCCTTGCCAGAGAGCCTGGGTTCAGTTGGCTAATGTGTCCCATTTTATAGTCCCCCTTCTATTCTTTCAGTCATACTCCAGCCCACCTTTACCGCAATATCCCAAAAATGTTTCCTGCACTGAGATTAATATGGGGTGCTGCAACACTGGAAATCTGGCAGATTGTAGGAGAGGCAGAAGTACCATCTACTGAGACCCCCTCAAATCCCAGTCACATTCTGTTCCCACCCTCTCGGACACTGCCCACCTTCACACCAACCTCCATGGTTCTAGGCAAGTCTCCCCTTTCCCTTGCTTCCAGTGGTAAACAGCCCTACTGTGGATGTATGGGAAGATCTAGGAACAAAGAGAAAAAAAGGAAAGGTGAATGTTGAGTGCTTGTGACATCCCAGTATTTAAGACACAGGTCTCAGTACCCCCCACCACCACCACTACTTATTGGATTTAGAGACCCATTCCCTGGCAGGCAGAACCTTGGGCCTCCCTGGTACTGAAGTAGGAAAGGTGGGAAAGGGAGGCAGGAATAAAAGGGGAGTAGCATGGGCAAAATCTTTTAAAACCACCTGTAGCATTCTAAGGCTTCTCCCAAAAGTCCACCATTTCCTTCACCAAGATGTTCAGACTGGCAGGGTATCTGAAAATAAAGGATGGTGAGAGAGATGGAAGCCCCTGGAGCCCATACTCTAGAATAGTAGATAGCCTATTGCTATCTGCTTTCCCTTAAACCCATCTCTAGGAGTCTCCAACAATAGAAGAGACAAGGTGTGGGAGGCTTCTGCTTTTGCAAAATCACTATTCCTCCACTGTAAACTAACTCTCTCTCTCTTTCTCTAATAATGTTCCTTAATACAACAATTTTATCTTTTCAATATTAACTGAAATACCAATTAAATCATCCATAGAAAAGTTTGCTATCTTTACTGGTCTTCAGTATAAAATTTCAGATTAAAATCCTAGCTTGATAAGTAGACACAGTTTAGGGAAAATTCCCTAGCTAGCCTCACCCCATATTCCAACTAGATAGCGGCTGCCTAAATTCCTGTCATATAGAATTCACATCACACTTGGGTGGTTCATAGCCAGTGCCCATGCTCACACTAACCTTCACAGATCCTATGCAGCTTTCTCTGCTCCTTCCTTTGCCTCCCTACAAACTGTGCAACACCGAGCTACTCAAGACAGTAGTAAAGGCACTGAGTGCTTGCACCAGCACCCAGGACACAGATCCTAATACTCACCTGTCTGCATTCAGATCCTAGCTATCAAGCTTCTCTCCCAACATTCGATTAAAGCCACCCCCACCAATCCTGCCGTTCAGTCACTAAAGCCCACCATTTTCTCTGCCAACACCACCGTGCATGTCCCTTCCACTGAAATGAGCAGGAAGCTGAACAGACATGATTAGAGTCAGGGAGGAAGGTGCATCTCAATCTCGTTATTTCCCTCTTGAGACACCCCACCAGCCAAGCCCTCCACACACTAGACAGGGGGAGTGGGCTCAGGAGATTCAGAGGGAAGGCTCCTTGGGCTTGAATCCGCATTGTCCTTCACCCCTGGTTCAGCTACTGAGGTTGCGGGGCGGCTGCCGCCACGGAGCTGCCGCGTCCCGAGCCCTTACCTGCTCCGCTGTTCCTAGGCCCGATGCCAGCCCGCCTGCGCAGGGCAGCGGGGAGCTGGTACCCAGAAGGGAGTGATGACTGCACCGAAGGCTGCGTCGCTCTGCAGCTCCAGGTCACGTGGGGGTTTGCGTCACCAAGGAGCTCTCGCGACCCCGCCTCTTTGCTCCCACTGGCCCCAGAGGTGATTGATGGGACCTGCCCCCCACTCTGCACGCAGTACTCCCCCTCCAAGTCTCTGCTGTAGCTCCCTGTCACTCAGTTGGGTCCTCTCGAACCTGAGAGCCCACAAGTGGCCTCACCTCCCTGCGGTTGGGATTTGTTCTTTTTTGGTTACCTGTGAAGGTCTGCGTCCCCTCACCCACTCCCAGGCCTTGACCAGGTGCTTTTTTGAGAAATCCTCTCTCCCTTAGACTACAGGAATGATGCTCTCCATCCAGTACCTTGCTGCACTAAACAAAGCTAAGAAAGGGCTGTCAGGAAAGGAAGCAGAGAGTAGAAGGAGAGCCTTAACTTGCTTTTTATGCTCCTTTTTTCTTTTTATTTCTTTTAACATTGCATTCATTGTTTTTGTAATTCGGAAATTCAGTCAAGTCAATTTTCATTTGACATTTAGAAATTAGGTCGTAAAAATAACAAAAGACTCATTTTTACATTATTTTTGCACTACATTAAAAATGTTTTGTAGTTGCTATAAACGATTTCACAGCTTTCAAAACAGACTAGTAATTATTGACATTTTAAATACAAAATTTTCCTAAACAAAACTAGCATGTTTTTAACGCTATCTATAAATTAATCTTTGGAAAGACACTCAGTTTTCTAATCTTGGCAGTTTTCCACAAGAGATTTACAATCTTTTGAAGTTCTGGCTGAACTTATTCTCTTGTGTCAGGTGTCTGAGGACTTTTTCATATATGACTCCTGGATGATTGAATCAAGACCCAGCTCCAGATTTAGTCTAGTGCCTGAAAACTAGTGATTTCCTAGACTAACTAGTTTTCCATTCAATTTTTTTACAAAAGCATGTGGTCAAAGTAGTCTGTCTCATCACACCCTGGACCAACTGCTTACCCCACTGATGGAAATGAGGCTTAGTATGTGGTGTTTTCATTTAATCAGGACGCTGGTGTGTTATCTCCAGTATCTGTCATTCATGTGCTGTATCACCCCAGCAGTAGTTAGTGTTTATCATGTTCCAGTAGAGATAGCCGTGAGAGTTTGTGGTACCTGTAAATTATTGCAACACCTCAGAGACCCATGTCATTTTTCTCTCACCAAAAGCACAGTTTATGAGAGCCCAAGCAGTTTCCAGGAAAAAGAGGCCTTTTGTTACAATTTTACTGTGCCACCCATTCAAGCCCTTCAGAATAATCCCAGAATTTAGGGACAATATATGCAGAGGTTAGCCTAGACATCCAGCTGTTCCCACTGGGGATCATACCCTAAATATAGACCATTCAGGCAGCTTCTTTCTTTGAACTTGGAAATATGACACTCCATCAGGAAGCTCCTCATATGAAAGGCCCCTGTGTGTAAGAGGGCCCCTCTCTAGATGAACCAGGAGCCCAGAGTGACACAGAAACTTATTAATAACTTTTCAGAAGTATATATTACCATGTTTCAGCTAGAAGTATGTAAAAATTTAGAAATGTGATGATATTGTTGACTGGTTTGTGGAGAAATGGTACTCCCACACTCTGTTGGGGGGAGATACTCTGATACAATCTTCTACCGGAGAGCAATTTGGCAAAATCAATTAAATAGTAAATACAGAATGGGGCAAAAGTAGGTTTACAAGTGTTCATATAGAAAATAATATAATAATTAAGAGACAGTATGGGGTGGGGGTAAGAGATCAACCAAAGGACTTGTATGCATGCATAGGAGCATAACCAGTATACACAGACAGTAGGGGGGTAAAGACATGTGCTGGAGTTTGGGAGCAGCCAGGGAGAGGCCAATGGGGGAGGGAGGAAGGATACTTATGTAATAGATTTTTTAAAAAAAAAGGAAGAAAAAAGAAAGAAAGAAAGAAAGAAAGAAAGAAAGAAAGAAAGAAAGAAAGAAAGAATATAAGAATAAACTCTGGCCCTAGCTGGTTTGGCTCAGCGGATAGAGCATCAGCCCGTGGACTGAAAGGTCCCAGGTTCAATTCCAGTCAAGGGCACATGCCTGGGTTTTGTACTCAATCCCTAGTAAGGGGCATGCAGGAGGCCCCCTAATCAATGAGTCTCTCTCATCATTGATGATTCTATATCCCACTCCCTTCCTCTCTGAAATCAATAAGTATATATTTTTTTAAAAAACAATAAACTCTTTCTCATACTCACAACTGTAAACCTACTTCTGCCAAACTCTGTATCAATGTCTCACAAATTCGTTGACCCAGCAATTGTATTCCTAGAAAATTTAGCCAGCCTACACACATAAACAATTTCACAATATTAGTGCGTGAAAATTTTTAAAAGAATGGAATTAATATAAAATGTCCATCAATAAAGGAAAGATTAGATACATTATGTTAAATCTATACAATATAGTTAATTTTAAAAGATTTAGGAAGATTAAAAATGACGGTGGAGTAAGTGGAAGCTCACAGACATGCTCCCAGGACCAAACTAGAATTACAACTAAAATAAATACAAACTTCCTGAATGATCAACTGAAGACTCTCTAGAGAGAACCCTGATAACGAAGGATGGAAAGTGAAGATTGCATAGGAAGAGTGGAGGTGACAGCAACTGAAGTATTGGAGTGATATCTCAGCTGTGTGGGGTGGTTTGCCACTGTGAACTCTGGGGTCTAATTACCAAGCAGTGATCCCTAGCAGAGAGCACTAGAACTGAGAAAGGTGTCCACATAACATGTGGCTGTGAAAAACAGCAGGATTGCCAGGGAGAGATAGCTGTAAAAGCAGGCACCTTCTTAAAGGGCCAACACACAGAATTCTGGCCACTCACCTTGTACTCTGGCAGAGTGAACTGAAGCTGTATAAACACAAGCAATGGTTGGGGGATCCAGTGATAGAGCTCAGAAGCAGACACCCCAGATTCCTATGCTGAGTGATTCCCTCATGCTGTGGAGGTCGTCTTTCTCAGGCAAACCTGTGCTATCCTGCTGTTTTTTTGCCTGGGAGTAAGACATTTGATGAACCCTATTGGAAAATCTCTGGCCTCTCCTTAAGAGTTTCTGAGGCCATCCAAAACCGGTTTGGCTCAGTGAATAGAGCGTCAGCCTGCGGACTGAAAGGTCCCGGGTTCGATTCTGCTCAAGGGCATGTACCTTGGCTGCGGGCATGTCTCCAGTGGGGGGTGTGCAAGAGGCAGCTGATCAATGATTCTCTCTCATCAGTGTTTCTAACTCTCTATCCCTCTTTCTTCCTCTCTGTAAGAAAATCAATAAAATATATATTTTTTTAAAAAAAGAGTTTCTTGGGCAATGGACCTAAATAGAATATTTTCAAAAGAAGACAGAAGGAAGGCCAAAAGGCACATGAAAACATGCTCAAAGTCACTAATTATCCGAGAGATGCAAATCAAAACAACAATGCGCTACCATCTCATACCTGTCAGAATGGCCAACATCAACAAATCAACAAACGACAAGTGTTGGCGAGGTTTCGGAGAAAAAGGAACCCTTGTGCACTGCTGGTGGGAATGCAAACTGGTGCGACCACTGTGGAGAACAGTGTGGAATTTCCTCAAAAAACTGAAAATGGAACTCCCATTTGATCCAGTAATCCCACTCCTAGGAATATATCCCAAGAAACTAGAAACACCAATCAGAAAGGATATATGCACCCCTATGTTCATAGCAGCACAATCTACAATAGCCAGAATTTGGAAACAGCCTAGGTGCCTGTCAGCAGATGATTGGATCAAAAAACCGTGGTACATCTACACAATGGAATACTATGCTGCCATAAAAAAGAAGGAATTCTCATCATTTGCAGCAACCTGGATGGAATTGGAGAACATCGTGCTGAGTGAAATAAGCCAGTCAATGAAAGAGAAACACCACATGACCTCACTCATTTGTGGATAATAAAGATCATTATAAACTGATGAACCAAAAGATAGATACAGAGACAGTAAAGCAACAAGCAGATTGTCAAATTTCAGCGGGAAGGGGAGGAGGATCTGGGGGAGATAATAGATCAACTGAAGGACTTGTATACACGCATATAAGTACAACCAGTGGACATAAAACTCTGGGGAGGGAGGGGATGTGTGGGAGGGAGGGAGGGGGGAAAATCAATAAAATATGTAAAAATAAATAAATAAATGTTTAAAAAAATATATAAAAGAGTTTCTGAGGCCCTTTAAAAGATTTGGATCCCCTGTGCAGACACCATCCCAGACTGCTCAGCAAGGCAAAAGCCAACAGGACCCAAAGCATCTGAAGCTGACACCTGTGGGACCAGCTCCATGCAGAAAGAAACTACAGTCCAGAACAGGGTTAACCAAGATGTGAGATTCAAGACACACCTAGCCTCTGGGCTAAGGAGTCCCTAATCACTGGATACCTGGCATGAACAGTGGGGTTGAAACTCACTGGCAGAAAGTCAGAGGGGAGATCCCTCTCACAAACAGAGCATCAAAAATCAAGTCATAATTACAGCAGGAGAGCCTTAAAAACAGACACAAAGGGCATTTCTAGAGCATCCAGCTCAGGTGAACAAAGACACTACACCACTGGACCCTTCAAGATACCTTCTACATAAGGCCATCTCACAAACACTGGGACACATAGCACTTCTATCTAATACATAGAAGCAAATATAAAGAGACAGCTAAAATGGGGAGACAAAGAAACAATCCACAAATGAGAGAAAAGAATCTTCAGAAAAATAACTAAATGAGATGAAGGTAAGCAACCTATCAGAAATAGCATTCAAAGCAGTGCTTCTAAAGATGCTTAAGTAACTTCATGCAAATTACAAAAGCATGAAAACGGGAACAGAGGCCATGAACAAGAACCAGACAGAAATGAAGAATGATATATCTGCCATGAAGAACACACTGGAATGTATTAAAAATTGGATGTGTGAGAGAAACCAAGATGGCAGCATAGGTAAAAACCTCAACTGCTGCCTCACACAACAATTTCAAAACTACAACTTAAAGACAAAAGGGACATCATCCAGAACCA